GAGGTGAGGAAACTGAGACACAAAGAGATGGAGATTAAGGAAGTGCCTAAGGGCAGGTAGCAGGTAAATAGGGAGTAGGGCTTTGAGCCCAGGTCTCCTTGCTCCTGGTCTAGACTCCTCCCAGGCATTGCTTATTGCCATTTGAGCTCCATTCCACCTGTATTTGTGTTGGATGGTGGGTGAGGGAAGGAGAAAGCTGACTGACCACTGTGGTTTGTCTAAAATTCGTTCCCTGACTTTGCCTCTCCTCCCAACCACAGGACTCTCAGTTTCCTGGACCCTCCCATGCTCATGCTCAGGTTAGCCATGGCCCTTTTGCAAGCAGCCAGGGAAGATGCCAGGTGGGCCCCGCCAAGGGCAGGAGAGAGGCAGTTTGTGCTCCTTATGAAAGAAGAAAGGGAGATTAGAAAGCAGCTGCAGAGCCCTGCAGCTCATCACACTGGCATCCACGGGGGAAGGGGGGAGGGGGGGAGTGGCTGCGCACCACTGCTGCGGCGGGCTGCCAGGACACCCCGCGCTCCGGAACCCAAGCCTGCGTGAAGGTAAATGCAAATCAGCTCCATAGAGCGCGCATCCTGCAGAGGGAGGGTTGTCATTCTGCGCGCCTGGTTTCTTCTGCTGTCAGCCTGAATGCTGCTTTTATTTTTGCATTTTATGAGCTTGAGAGAGGGAATTCATTTCCTTGGTGTAATATGACCCTCTGGAGAGTCTTGTCCAAATACATTTTGCTCACAAATTCTGTCCTGGAAGAGGGGCCGTACTGGAATGAAATAGAGATGATTAAAGTTTGATTTATAGGTAAGGTGAGTTGGTAGGTTTATGCCAAATTATTGCATCCAGGAAGGTGAAAGGCAATAAAAGGGCTCTCCCTGGGAGCTGGAAACTTTTGCAAAAAGAAATACTCAGGGTGCATGTACCATTCTTCCAGCCAGGCTATATTTTAATATCTTCACCACATTTGCCCCCTTTCTCTCACCAGATTGCACATCTGAGAAGGCAGAAACTGGGTTCATTGCATCTTGGTATCCCCCACATGGGGATGTTTTTGCAATTTAATTTACAAGGCTTTTAAATCTCAACTGACTGAGCCACCTCTTTCTTCTTCCCCTTTGGCTGATTAACAGTCCCTCCATTCCAGGCCAGTTCTTACAGATATCAGGGCCTCCTAACAATGCCCATTCCACCCCACCACCCACCCCCACTCTCCAAAAGCACAGGGTCAGAATGATGCTTCTTTCAGGTTATAAGTAATACAATAAGAATATTAACAATAAGCTTTGGCTGAGTACTTACTATGGACCGGGTATTTTCTAAGCACTGTTACTCCATTTAATCCTCATAACTACTCTGTGAGATAGGTACCATTATTATCCCGTTTTACAGACGAGAAAACTTAGGCTTCAGCTGCTTAAGAGACTTGCTCAAGATCACAGAGGTGGTCAGTGGAAGTAGCTGCTATTTACTGGGTGCTTACTGGGGGCCAGGTGCTGTGACAATCACATTAAACTGACTCATTTCATAGTGCCCTTAAACCTCAAGACGTGGCTTTCAGTGCTTAGAATTTTAAGCATTTTGTCCTTTGGAGACTGGAAATTATGTGAAGTCAAGGTCTGGTTCACTCCTCTATCCAGAGAGTTGAGGATGGTGCTAGGAACAGAGCAGCAACTCAAAAAATGTTTGTTGAGTGAATGAAGGCACAGCAGAGGTGTCTTACCTGTGAGAGCTGCTTGCACAGACCCCTTTTCCTCCCAGGTGAGTCCTGCTGATACTCAGGATGCCCTTGGAACAGGCTTCCTGGCATGGTTCCTCTGCCACAGGGAGGTGGGCGATCACGAGGACCCCACCTGGCATCGTTGGAAGTTGGGTGTTCCAGGGCTTCCTCAGGGTGGTGCGAGCTGTAAGGGGCAGAGCCAGATTTTCTGACACCAGTTCCTTCCTGTGCTGGCCAGACTCCTTTTTCTGACTTGGCCAGCAGCCTCTCGGAGATGGGGATCTCGTTGTTTAGGGCAATGTCTTTATTCAATTTTTGGTTTATGCATTTTCAATTGTAAAAACAAATAGAGGGGGAGTTATTGTCTAATGGGTACAGAGTCTGTTTGGGAAGAAGAGAAAGTTCTGGGGATGGACTGTGGTGACGGTTGTATGACACATGTGAATGTAGTTGATGCCACTGAACTCTACACTTAAAGATGGTTAAAATGGTCAATTTTATGTTGTGTATATTTTACCACAATTAACAAACCCCACGCGTATGGGTCTTAGTAACATAACAAGAAGTCTGGGGTCGGTAGTTACAGGGAGTTGGTTCAGTTCCTTGATGATGGCACCAGAGTCCGCATGTCTTTATAGTCTTAGCATGACGGCTTTCATCCTGGTTGTGAGATATCCTCTGAGACTTCTTAAATTTTATCTGCACAAGCGAGGAAGAAGGAGGGAAAGGGTGATGTTAGCCATGGTTCTGTCTTTTATCCGGAAAATCCCCAGCAGAATTTTCTGGGTCTCGTGGCCTTGCTGGGTAGCAAGGGTGGCTGGAAAAGTGATTACTTAGCTCCACTAACTCAGAGCTGAGGACGGGCATCCGGGGAGAAGGAAGCTGGGAGTGAGTCCTGATTGGACAACCAGCAGGTTGTATTCAGTGCCCTGCGGAAGGTCACGTGGTCACGTAGCAGACGGGCCAGGCCCACAGCCCAGGCTCCTTGTGCCCAGTCTCGAGCGCTTTTGCTAGGACATTGGATACATTTTGCAGTGGCTAGATTCCCAATAAAAAGGACTGTCCTGGAGAGTATCTTTCAAAGAGAAAAACTCTCCATTGCATGTACTGAAATTAATCACAATGCTAAGAGGTTGTGTCGGGAAAGTACTGGACATGGTGGCAGCCAGCACATCTGAGCTCTGCCCCAGGCTGGCTGGAAGTTTTGGGAACAGTCCCCAGGTCTCTGTACTTATGAAATGTGATTAACTGGTTGGCATTGTTCCTTAAATCCCCATTACGTGTTTTAATTCTCTAGATGAAAGACCCAATAGGAGGACAAATAGTTGCTACTAACCAATCACATGCTATGGGTGTGGGCTTATAACACAAGATAATATGCTTCAGATGTTGGATCAGGATGATAGAAACTTCCCACCATTCCCCCTGGCTAGAATAAGGAATGTCAGCAGACATCTCTGTTGTAGTTACCTGGCCATTACAAGGAAGCCTGGATGCGCACACTAGGCTTTTGAAGATAGAGAATGGACTCCACTCTCTCTGATCCCACCACCTGCTCTTTCCATGGGAGGCACCAACGGGGAACGGGCAGGCCCTGCCCACTGAGCTGACAGCATGCCCCTCCCCTTCTCCATCAGGCCTTCTTGGGTTGGCTCCAGGTTATGCCCATTCTTCTCCTTCGTTCATACTCCAGGGTAGTGTGTGTGTGTGTGTGTGTGTGTGTGT